GGCTTGCAAACTCCTTTCCCTCCCCCTCCCCACAACAGACACCCTGTGAGGTTAGGTGGGGCTGAGAGAGCTCTGACAGAAACTGCTCTTTTTCAAGAACAGCTCTTGTCAGAACTACGGCATGCCCAAGGTCATCCAGCCAGGTGCAAGTGGAGGAGTGGGGGACTCAAACCCGGTCCTCCCAGATTAGAGTCCGCGCACTGAACCACGACACCAAACTGGCTCTTGTGCACTGAAAGTGGGTTGAACGTGGATTATTTAGCGTGTGTGATCTCAGCCTTTTGTCTATCAGCAGCTGCCTGGAGAGAGGATTCCTTGGGAAATCTGCTACTGCTGGAGTATTGCTTACTCTGAGTAAGCAGTCATGTCTTTCATTCTCTTGCCATCCCACCCCTCTTCTGCCAATTCAGAGCACACCTTTCTTATACCTAAATTCAGGATGGTAACCGTGTGGGTCTGAAGCTGCAGAATAAAGTTTGGGTCATAGGAACACAAGGGAAGCCATGTTGGATCAGGCCAACGGCCCATCCAGTCCCACACTCTGTATGTCACACAGGAGCCAAAACCCAGGTGCCATCAGGAGGTCCACCAGCGGGGCCAGAACTCCAGAAGCCCTCCCACTGTTGCCCCCCCCAAGCACCAAGAAAACAGAGCATCACTGCCCCAGACATAAGAACATTAGAGAAGCCATGTTGGATCAGGCCAATGGCCCCACTAGTCCAACACTCTGGGTCACACACTGGCCAAAAATACCAGGTGCCACCAGGAGGTCCAGCAGTGGGGCCAGAACTCCAAAAGCCCTCCCACTGTTGCCCCCCAAGCACCAAGAATACAGAGCATCACTGCCCCAGACATAAGAACATCAGAGAAGCCATGTTGGATCAGGCCAGTGGCCCCTCCAGTCCAACACTCTGTGTCACACAGTGGCCAAAAATACCAGGTGCCGTCAGGAGGTCCAACAGCGGGGCCAGAACTCCAGAAGCCCTCCCACTGTTGCCCCCCAAGCACCAAGAAGACAGAGCATCACTGCCCCAGACATAAGAACATAAGAGAAGGCAATGTTAGATCAGGCCAATGGCCCATCCGGTCCAACACTCTGTGTCACACAGTGGCCAAAAATACCAGGTGCCATCAGGAGGTCCAGCAGTGGGGCCAGAACTCCAGAAGCCCTCCCACTTTGGCCCCCCAAGCACCAAGAAGACATAGCATCACTGCCCCAGACATAAGAACATAAGAGAAGCCATGTTGAATCGGGCCAGTGGCCCATCCAGTTCAACACTCTGTGTCACACAGGGACCACCAGCAGGGCCATATATTGTACACGGTTCCCAGCTAGTTCCTTCTCTAAGTTCTGGGCAGGAAGGGCAGCAGCATCCGACCATGCAGTTCCCTGCCATACACACGTACGCACACACACACGTGCCCTTGTAGTGGGGCAGTCCAGGACGTATTTCTGTCCTTCAGCGGCTCTTTGGCATGCTGGCGGCCCTAGCCCCAGCCTCCATGCCTTTCTTGTGGCTGCCACACGGGGGGGGGGGTCCAGACCCGTGTGCAGAAACGATGCCCGCCACACTGAGCCAGCACCGGCTTGACTCGGTACAAAGAGGTTCCCCATCACCGGCCCACCGTCTTCCAGCAGATCGAGGCCAGCTTCTCACCTGAGGTCTTGGGTGGCTTCAGCCCTTTGCCTCCGGTGGGCTTAAAGCCGTTGAGGGCCCAATCCACCATCGGCTTCAGCTTCTCTTCCAGGGAATCCCCTGCGGCGCTCGAGAAAGTCTTCCCCGCTCGGCTGCTCGCCACCTGCCAAAGGGAGGTGCCCGTGAGTGCCAACAAAGACATCTGCCAACGCCTTTCCTGGCAGCGGCCAAGTGTTTTTGCAAAGTGGGTGGGGCCAAGTAGGGCTTCCAGCCAGCAAGGCTACTGGTTAGCGACTGGAGATGCGGGTTTTTGTGGACATTATTTCGGCTAGCAGCTACCGTCACTGAATAAGGATCTTCACTGTGTGACTGCAGGTGAGCTGCGGCAGCCATTTTGTGCCTGGCCCCGCCTCCCGGGGCAGCCATCTTGGGGGGCTGTGTCCGCCACAGTGCGTCAGAATTCCAAAACTGCCCACGGGCTCGAAAAAGGTTGGGGATCCCAGCTCTGCTAAGCTGTATATTGAATTTTAAATGTTTTTATGTATATTTTATGGCATCGTGCCTTTTGTACGTCAGCCAGAGCCCAGCATAAGCTGGGATAGGGTGAATAATAATAATAATAATAATAATAATAATAATAATAATAATAATAATATGCCACATCAGTGCTTCATAAGCGGAGTCAGAATAGATCTCCAATTGGGGGGGGGCACTTTGCTAAATTCTCCCCAGAAACAGTGTTGCAGCAATGGGATCGGCAGAAGTATACCAGGCTCTTGCCAAAGGCCGTCAAGCCAACGATGGTGTAGGCATCCAGTTAGAAAAGAGAAGAAGAGGAGATTGGGTTTATACCCTGCCCTTCACTTCCCAAGGGAGTCTCAGAGCGGCTGACAAACTCCTTCCCCTTCCCCTCCCCACTACAGACACCCTGTGAGGTCAGTGGGGCTGAGAAAGCTGACAGAAACTGCTCTTTTTCAAGAACAGCTCTTATCAGAACTGTGGCTTGCCCAAGGTCACCCAGCAGGTGCAAGTGGCGGAGTGGGGAATCAAACCCAGTTCTCCCAGATTAGAGGCCACACACTTAACCACGACACCAAACTGGCTCTTAACCACTACACCAAACTTACAAAATGCTTGTGAAGGAATTGAGGGGAGGGGATGTGGCTCAGTGGTTGAGCATCTGCTTGGCCTGCAGAAGGTCCCAGGCTCAGTTCCTGGCATCTCTAGTAAAAAGGACCAGGCAAGAGATGATGTGAAAGACCTCAGCCTGAAATATGGGAGAGCCACTGCCACTTTGAGCAGACAATACTGATCTCGATGGACCAAGGGTGGGGAGGGGCTGTGGCTCAGTGGAAGAGCCTGGCATGCAGAAGGTCCCAGGTTCAATCCCCGGCATCTCCAGCTAAAAGGACCAGGCAGGAGGTGATGGGAAAGACCTCTGCCTGAGACCCTGGAGAGCTATGGGAAGGGCCTGTGGCTCAGATGAAGAGCCTCTGCCTGGCATGCAGGAGGTCCCAGGTTCAATCCCCGGCATCTCCCGCTAAAAGGACCAGGCAGGAGGTGATGGGAAAGACCTCCGCCTGAGACCCTGGAGAGCTATGGGAAGGGGCTGTGGATCAGTGGAAGAGCCTCTGCCTGGCATGCAGAAGGTCCCAGGTTCAATCCCCGGCATCTCCAGCTAAAAGGACCAGGCAGGAGGTGATGGGAAAGACCTCCGCCTGAGACCCTGGAGAGCTATGGGAAGGGGCTGTGGCTCAGTGGAAGAGCCTCTGCTTGGCATGCAGAAGGTCCCAGGTTCAATCCCCGGCATCTCCCGCTAAAAGGACCAGGCAGGAGGTGATGGGAAAGACCTCCGCCTGAGACCCTGCAGAGCTATGGGAAGGGGCTGTGGATCAGTGGAAGAGCCTCTGCCTGGCATGCAGGAGGTCCCAGGTTCAGTCCTCGGCATCTCCAGTTAAAAGGACCAGGCAGTAGGTGATGGGAAAGACCTCTCTGCCTGTGACCCTGGAGACCTGCTGCCAGTATTGAGTGGATAAATCTGACCTTGATGGACCGAGGGTCCGAAGGCAGCTTCATGTGTTCATGTCAATATTAGCGCCAAGAGAGAGCCATCATAGCTTCAGCTGAACCTCAAACTGATGATTTCTCAGGCACATCATCCTCCCAGAATGCAGCACTGGTTGGTGGCCCAAAGCTCCCCAAAAGAGTTGACTCGCTTGAGGGCCATTAAACACAGGAAAGGGGGTAGGCAGCCAACACGAACAGAGACCCAAAGGTGATCGCCAGAGCCCCCGCCAACCCCTTCGCAGTCATTCTGCCCAGTTACCTCCAAAACGTGCAGGATGGCTTGCCGGTAGGATACGAGCTTATGGAAGGTGGTGCTGTTGAAATGCTCTGAGAAGGCCACCAGTCCAACCAGTTTGTCTGCTGAGACCTGCAGTGGGAACAAGTTTACTGTGATCAAGGAGGAGGGATCCTCCAACCCGCCTACCACAGCATAAGAACATCGGAAGATAACCAGTTCCTCTGGAGGGCCAACAACAGGGCAGGGGAGGCCGAGGCCTTCAGAAGAACATCAGAAGAGCCCTGCTGGATCAGACCAGTGGTCCATCTAGTCCAGCATCCTGTCTCACACAGTGGCCAACCAGTTCCTCTGGAGGGCCAACAATGGGGCATAGAGGCCGAGGCCTTCAGAAGAACATCAGAAGAGCCCTGCTGGATCAGACCAGTGGTCCACCTAGTCCAGCATCCTGTCTCACACAGTGGCCAACCAGTTCCTCTGGAGGGCCAACAACAGGGCAGAGAGGCCGAAGCCTTCAGAAAAATTTCAGAAGAGCCCTGCTGGATCAGACCAGAGATCCATCTAGTCTAGCATCCTGTCTCCCACAGTGGCCAACCAGTTCCTCTGGAGGACCAACAACAGGGCAGGGGAGGCCAAGGCCTTCCCATGAACTTCAGAAGAGCCCTGCTGGATCAGACCAGAGATCCATCTAGTCTAACATCCTGTGTCACACGGTGGCCAACCAGTTCCTCTGGATGGCCAACAATGGGGCATAGAGGCCGAGGCCTTCCCATGATAAGAACATCAGAAGAGCCCTGCTGGATCAGACCAGTGGTCCACCTAGTCCAGCATCCTGCCTGACACAGTGGCCAACAGTTCCTCTAGAGGGCCAACAACAGGGCACAGAGGCCGAGGCCTTCATAAGAAGAAGAACCCTGCTGGATCAGACCAGTGAGGGTCCATCTAATCCAGCCTCCTGTCTCACACAGGGGCCAACCAGTTCCTCTGGAGGGCCAACAACAGGGCAGAGAGGCCGAAGCCTTCAGAAGAGCCCGGCTGGATCAGGCCAGTGGCCCATCCAGTCCAACACTCTGTGTCACACAGTGGCCAAAACCCAGGTCCACCAGCAGGGCCACGTCAGCTACGCTGCCATTGTATTAGGGGGGAGGCCGCTGGATGAGTGGACCTCTGCTCCATCTTGTCCCACAATTTTTTCATTATTCCTCCCAGCCTTTGGAGGGTCCCAGCAGCCTCTCTAGAGCAGGGGTGTCGAACTCATTTGTTATGAGGGCCGGATCTGACAAAAAGGAGACCTTGTTGGGCCGGGCCACGTGTGTCATAAAACGTAATGCCAGGTAGCGGGGATATGAACATTATAAAGGACACAGACAAACACAATTAAATTTTTAATTTTTTTTTTTAAATAAAACATGTCTCCTGTATACGATTGAGGCAGCCGGGCCGGGAAACGAGCTCCGGTTGGTTCCCTCCCTCCCCCCTGGGAGGAGGAGGGGGAGGAGCCTCAGCCAAAGCTTCACCAGACTCTCTCAATCGCACAGGAGAGGCTTGCCTACCTATCTCTCCTGTGCAATTGAGAGAGTCTGGTAAAGCAATCTGTGATGTAGCAGCAGCAGCATAACTGGAAAAGGAAGCAGGAAACAGCCAGGACCTTGCGGGCCGCATTGTAGCCCTACGAGGGCCTGATCTGGCCCCCAGGCTGCATGTTTGACACCCCTGCTCTAGAGAAACTGGAACTTTGGAACTCCCTCCATGGGGAGAGTTATCGGTTTCTCTCTATCAGTGTCTTCTGCCAGCGGGTGAAGACAGTTTCGTTTCGCATAACCCCAAGAGTGGTTATTGGCCTTCTCCCCGCTTCTGGTATCGTTCGTGCGTTGCAATTGAATTGTTTTTATAATTTTAAATGTTGTTCTAATGTTTTTATGCGCACCGTCTTCCAAGACCCTGGTCAGATGAGAAAGATGGCATAAAAATATTTTAAACAAATAAAGTAAATTGAGAGACAGAAAGAGGGATGCAGTTGGTCGCATCCCTTCCAACCAGTGTTCCCTCTAAGCTGAGTTAGTGTGAGCTAGCTCACAGTTTTTTTAGCCTCCGGCTCACACATTTTTGTCTCAGCTCAGGAAGGAGGGCTCCAGCGCAAACTAAGTTATACCGTAGCCAAATCACCTGCTCACGACTTTAATGCCAGTAGCTCACAAAGTAGAATTTTTGCTCACAGGACTCCACAGCTTAGAGGGAACACTGCTTCCAACATATTAACAGCTCAGCTGAAGGTCTGGAGAAAAGGCTAAGAAATCTCTGCTCTTCTCTATCTCCCATTTATACCCAGGACAGGATTTTCCTTTATATATTCGTTTTCATTTTTTTAATAATAAACAAAACAGCTAACCCAGTTCACAAGGCCTGAAACGTTCCCTTGACACATGTGGCTTTCGACAATGGCCAGAGATGCCGCAGGGCCATCGGCAAGCCCTCTTCCCTTCCGCCACGCCTCTTACCTCAGAAAACTTTCCGTCCCCGAACCACTTCACCCAGCGCATCCCGGGAGCAGCCTGGCGCTTGCCGGTGGCTCTCCAAGACACTACAATGGCCGGCCACCAAGAGAAGCCTTTGATTTTGCCCCAGATGAGCTCCCCGATTCTAAAATCCTTCCCATCCTGCAAGCCAAAGACAGGGCAAGGTCACTGTATGAAAGAAACATCCTCATTACCAGGGGTCATTTTGTAGAAAAAGAGGTGCAGGAGCTCATTAGCATAACTCATTAGCATAACTCATTTGCATATGCCACACCCCCTGACATCACCGGAAATGTGTCGGAAGGCATCACCCACCGCTCAGGCTCCACTGGACTGTTTTGGATTGCTAGCTATTGGGGGGGGGAATGTGCAGATCTGTCCTCAAAGAGGAGGGAGAGCTTGTACCTGAATAAAACTTGGTCTTAAAGGTGCCACTGGACTGTTTTTTTGGGGGGCTCTCCAACTTACCTGGCTGCTTCTTGCTCTGAGGGCTGCTGGGAGCAGGGGTGTGGCTTGTTGCTGTGCCCGCCCCCTGACGTCACCGGAAGCGTGTCAGAAGGCAACACCCACTGCTCAGGCTCCACTGGACTGTTTTGGATTCCTAGCTATTGTGAGGGGGGGGGAACGTGCAGATCTGTCCTCGCGGAGAAGGGAGAGCTGGTACCTGAATGAAACTTGGTCTTAAAGGTGCCAGTGGACTGTTTTTTTGGGGGGGCTCTCCAACTTATCTGGCTGCTTCTTGCTCTGACTGAGGGCTGCTGGGAGCAGGGGTGGGGTTTGTTGCATGTGCCCGCCCCCTGGGCTCTTTACTGCTGGAGCTCCGCTCCTGTGCGCTCCTGCAGAAAATGACCCTTGCTCATTACTACCAGTAAGCATCTTGGAGGTGGTATGTAGGGATGTTCGGGCCCCTTTCAGGCTGCTGCGGGTTGATTCAGAATTATCTGATCTGAATTGGCTTGCCGCCGAATTTCGGCGGCAATTCGGCCCCATTATATTCTATGGGCCATTGCAGTCAATGACAAAAACATAGAGTATATTCTCTGGGCTGGAGGGGAGGCAGTTTGAGAAAGAGGCTCCAAACTCGCAGGGTAGTTGCTGGAGCCTCTCCCCATAGATACCCACCAAGTTTCAAGAACATTGGACCAGGGGGTCCAATTCTACGGGCCCCCATCCCCGCCATTGTTCTCTATGGTGGGGAAAAAGTAGCTACCCTGTGAGTTTGGAGTCCTAACCAGGGTTGATTCTGCTTAGCTGCAGAGTTCTGATGAGATCGAGCTAGCCTGGGCCATCCAAGTAATAAGAACATAAGAACATAAGTGAGGCCATGTTGGATCAGGCCAGTGGCCCATCCAGCCCAACACTCTGTGTCACACAGTGGCCAAAACCCAGGGGCCATCAGGAGGTCCACCAGCGGGGCCAGGACTCAAGAAGCCCTCCCACTGGTGCCCCCCCCAAGCACCAGGAAGACAGAGCATCTCTGTCCCAGACAGAGTGTTCCTTGTGTCTAATAACCACTGATGGACCTCTCCTCCATATAAGAACATACGAGAAGCCATGCTGGATCAGGCTAATGGCCCATCCAGCCCAACACTCTGAGTCACACAGTGGCCAAAACCCAGGGGCCATCAGGTCCAGCAGCGGGGCCAGGACTCCAGAAGCCCTCCCACTGTTGCCCCTCCAAGCACCAAGAAGACAGAGCATCTCTGGCCCAGACAGAGTGTTCCTTGTGTCTAATAACCTCTGATGGACTTCTCCTCCATATAAGAACATACGAGAAGCCATGCTGGATCAGGCTAATGGCCCATCCAGCCCAACACTCTGTGTCACACAGTGGCCAAACCCCAGGGGTCATCAGGAGGTCCAGCAGTGGGGCCAGAACTCCAGAAGCCCTCTCACTGTTTGCCCCTCAAGCACCAAGAATACAGAGCATCACTGCCCCAGATATACGGCAGTTTCACACACTACATAACACACTTCCAATGCACTTTGCAACTTGATTTTACTGTTCCATCTGTACCTTGTGGCTAAGAGCCACCGATGGACCTCTGCACCATATGTTTCTCCAATCCCCTCTTGAAGCTGTCTATGCTTGTAGCCGCCACCCCTTCCTGCAGCAGTGAATTCCACGTGTTAAAGTCGGGGCAAATAAACCCCATACTCCCATCAGTTGGTCTTAAAGGTGTGCATGCACACAAAAGCGTATACCCAGAATTAAACGCTGTTGGTCTTAAAGGTGTGCATGTACACAAAAGTTTATACCCAGAAGTAAACGCTGTTGGTCTTAAAGGTGTGTATGCACAAGAAAGCGTATGCCCAGAATTAAATGTTGTTGGCCTTAAATGTGCCCCTGGACTCAAACTTTGTTCCGCTGCTTCAGACCAGCGCGGCGAGCCCACTGAATCTATCTTGCAGGGATGTGGCAAGCATCCCAGCCAGGCTTCCTTGGCTCAGGGGAGGCGCGTGTGTCCCCAGATCTCTCTTGCTCCACAGTCAGTCTCAGAGGGGACCTACCCCACCTCTTACACACCCACCTTAGCCAATCCCCTACCTGGTATTCCTCGAAGCTCCTCAAGGTTCCTGAGTAGGCCGGAGAACACCCATTGGGGACGGTGATGCCACTCCGGAAGGAGTCAGAGGAATCGCTGTCCACAAAGACAGTCTCGGTAGCCTCAGACAGCCGCTTGGAATACTGGAGAGAGGAAGGAAGAGCTGGGAACGGAGGTCCAGGAGGACACAGACGCCGGGCAAGCCCAGGATAAAAACTCCCGGGGACCTTCGGCAAGGAAGGGGACAGTAGAATAAGCACTGGGGACCGTCCAGGATTCGGGACCGTCATGTATCACCTCTATTTGAAACGTTGCGGACTCACGAGGAGCCCCCATGTCCTGGCAGAGTCGGGGGCCTCTCCTCGCTGTCAGCCCACAATGCAGCGGCCGACAAGCCGGGAACGGAGGCCAGGCCCCACCAGCGTCTCCAGCATCTCAAGAAGCAAAACCTGGCCTCTGCCAACTACTGCCCGTTCCCGCCCCTGCAGCCCCCCAGAGAGAGGGCCCAAGAGCCTACCCGGATTTTGTGCCTCTCCTTGAAGCCTTGCACGCTCTCCACGTCATCTTTGGGTTTCTTCTCCTGTGAGGCCGGCCCTGCCTGGAAGACTATCCGGGGCGGGGGTCTCTGTCGCAAGCTGTTCTCCCAACCGGCAGTTCCGCGGGTTCGTACCTGGGAGCCAAACAGACACAGGGAGCTCGCTCCGGAGGAGCAAACGGGATGCAGAATCCCTACTATTCCATTGGGAACAGATCAAGAGCCCCAGGCGCCTTCCCAAAAATGGCCAAAAGAAACAGCGGTCCATACACAGTGCCTTCTCTGCTGTGGCTCCCAACTTATTTATTTATTTAGAAGAAGAAGAAGAGAAGAGATTGGATTTATATCCCGCCCTTCACTACCCAAAGGTGTCTCAGAGCGGCTTACAAACTCCTTTCCCTTCCCACAACAGACACCCTGTGAGGTAGGTGGGGCTGAGAGAGCTCTGACAGAAACTGCTCTTTTTCAAGAACAGCTCTTATCAGAACTACGGCTTGCCCAAGGTCATCCAGTCAGGTGCAAGTGGAGGAGGATTTGCTCATTAATTTGACCCTGTTGATTGTGTTGAATGCAACAAAGGCGGACCATAAATAACAAAGGAGGAGGAGGAGGAGGAGATTGGATTTATACCCCACACTTCACTTGGAATCTCAGAGCGGCTGACAATCTCCTTTCCCTTCCCCTCCCCACAACAGACACCCTGTGAGGTAGACGGGGCTGAGAGAGCTCTTTCAAGAACTGCCCCTGAGAAAACAGCTCTGACAGAACTATGGCTTGCCCAAGGTCATCCAGCAGCTGCAAGTGGAGGAGTGGGGAATCAGATTAGTCCAAGCGCTTAACCACCACAACAAACTGGCTCTAAATGAATATAAGCCAAGCACGCCACTAAAGAGCAAAGGACAAGGATGCAGGAGTTCACGATATGCCCAAAGCCCGCTTGGAATGCAGAGGAGGATGCTCAGACGCCGCTGCAGACCTTGGTTAAATTCTTCTCAAGGCTGCAGGAATTCCACAGTCCCCACCAGCCATGTCCTAAGCATGCCGGATCTGATATCAGAAGCAGCATCCGCCACTCTCCCAGTTTCTGCTCCTCACCTATGACCAACCCAGCGTCTTTCACACAGAGTACACAACGGAACAGTAGCAGGTTTTGTTTTGTCCTCAGTTTGGTGTCGTGGCGAAGTGCGCGGACTCTGATCTGGGAGAACCGGGTTTGGTTCCCCACTCCTCCACTTGCACCTGCCTGGATGACCTCGGGCAAGCCGTAGTTCTGATAAGAGCTGTCCTTGAAAAAGAGCCGTTTCTGTCAGAGCTCTCTCAGCCCCACCTGCCTCACAGGGTGTCTGTTGCGGGGAGGGGAAGGGAAAGGAGATTGTAAGCCGCTCTGAGACACCTTTGGGTAGTGAAGGGCAAGGGGTATAAATCCAGTCTCCTCTTCTTCTTCTACCTCACGGGGTGTCTGTTGTGGGGAGGGGAAGGGAAAGGAGTTTGTGAGCCACTCCGAGACTCCCTTGGGTAGTGAAGGGCGGGGTATAAACCCAATCTCTTTTCTTCTTCTTCTTCTTCTTCTTCTTCTTCTTCTTCTTCT